TGAGTGCACACTATGTGCCAGGCCCTGTTCTAGACACTTAGGTTACAGCAGAAAAGGAGACAGACAAAGGTCCTGCCTGTGTTGGATGAGGCCTGTCCGATGAGGTGACATTGGAGAAGAAAACTGAGCGAAGTTTGGAATAAACCAAGCAGACATCTAGAAGAGTGTTCCAGGCAGAGGAGATGAAAACTGTAAAAGTCTTAAGGCAGAAATGTGCCCGGTGGGTTTCAGGAACTACAAAAGACCAGGATGGCTGAAGTTCAGAGAGCCGGAGGGAGGTCAGGAGATAATATCTGAGAGCTATCAGGGCCAGTCCTTTGGAACAAAGTTACAAAGTGTGAGCGGTAGGGGAAGAGACTATTCCTGGAACTTTGTTCCAAAAGGTACGGTTCTCTTGCCTTTTCTCGGGCAGATTTTCCCAAAAGGGAGTGATCAGCTCAAATCCCCTTTAGCCTAATTTCCAAGAGGCAGTGTATCTCAGTGGTTAAGCACATGGGCTCTGGTACTGAGCTTCTTGGGTTGGAATCCTGGCACTGCTACACTCTGGCTGTGTAACCTCTCTGTGCCACAGCTAGGAGGCAGCTTCTAATGTTTCAATAATGAACACATTACTAATAACTTGAAAGACAAATTCCCGTCTTCCTTCCTCTCCAGTCCCCAAATGTGCTGTGATCTTTATGATGGGAATTTCAGGTCATGATGAAAAGAAGTCACAGGATGTGTTTAAGGGGAGGTGGACCTTACAAGATCCCTTTAATGGCAAGAATAGAGATAACACACCCCACCACCACCCCCAACACACACACACACACACACACACACACACACACACACAGTGTCTCTGTCAAGTCATCATCAGCAAATCAACACTGGAATGAAATAGGAAGATTCCTACTTTAAAAGAAGTCTGTAGTGAGTTCTTTCACGGTAAAAAAATTAGTCTGTAACTCAGATGTTCTGCGTATTTAGATTTTATGCAGTTCATCTTCCTAAAGCAAAGATACCTATATATTAAAGATACTCAAAATTTTTAAAGATAATCATATAGTGACATAGCTCTGCGGTAACAAATAGTTCTCCTTTTCAAAATGCTTGTCAAAACTATGTGTGTATTGTCTTCTGAGATAATTTACAAGGTGCATTTGATTTCAGTTGTGAAGTTGATTAGATTTTTTTATCATCTATTACAGAGTATACACAAGGCCTCCCTTCCTTGTACTGACTGTCATGAATGCAGTTTGTATTCTTCTGCAAAAGAAACCTAACTGGACGACAGCAAAGTTACTTCTTTCAGAAACAGGTTTCCTTAAAAAATTGATTAACCTTGACAAGGACAGCATACCTGAGAAGGTAAAAAGTGCTCAGAAAAAAAAAAGTTGATACCTACTGAATGCACAGTTGATGCAGTTGGTATTCATAATCTGTAGGAATCAAATAGGATACTCTGTGTTAGAACTGGAAGACAATGGGGAGAGTTAAAAGATCAGAAAGCAAGCTGCATATCCAAACTTAATGGGTTTCCTGGAAGCGTCAAGGAAAAGGAACATGTCACGAACATTGGAAAATGCCATAGTTCAGAATCCTTTTAAATAATGAGGAAAAGAGAAGCAAGAAGACAGTGGTAGGAGAAGGTCTTTCTAGGTGGAGTGTATTACACTGTGCAAGTGCGATGAGTGGGTAGAAGTGTCTAAGAGTTTATTTATTTAATAAATATTCCTATATCAGTACATGCCAGGCACTCTTCTGGGCATTTTGCAAATATTAATTCATGTGGGTGGAGATGGACCACAGACTGGAGCACAGAAAAAACTTAAAGGAAATAAGGTAGCCCAGACACGTTACTAAAGGGTTTTTCTGGAGCAGATTTAATTCAGAAGAATATGGATTTACTGTAATACTTCAAGGAGGAAGAAAGATGGGCCAAAGTCCAGGGCAAGCAGCAGAGCTCAGGGCACTAGTAGATGGGTCAGGCCATGTTGGTCAGGCCGTGTTAGAGAAAGTCTCATAGAAAGAACAAAGGGATATGGCAGGGAAGGCAACAGGTTACAAGGGCCTGGCCCCAAGGCACTCTAGGTAGAAATAGGAAAGGCCAAATGTCACTGATGCAGCCAAAAGCCAAGTAATGCCGGGAGCCACCAGAAGATGGAAGAGGCAAGGAACAGATACCCCGCTAGAGCCTCCAGAGGGAGTGTGGTCCTGCCAGCACCTTGATTTTGGACTTCTGGCTTCCAGAACTGTGAGAGAATAAGTTTCTGTCACTTTAAGCTACCCAGTTTGTGGTCATTTGTTACAGTAGCCATAGGAAGCTAATACAGATTTTGGTATCAAGAAGTGGGTGCTGCTGTAACAAATACCTAAAAATGTGGAAATGGCTTTGGAATTGGATAATGAGTAGAGGCTGTAAGACTATCTAAACTGGGCTATTACATAGGAGTTGAACTTCCAGCTAAGCTCAGGGGCAGACAGATAGATTTCTAGGCATATAAATGGCACTGTCCTAGACTGAAGGAGTGAGTACTCATTAATTCATTTAATAAATATTTGTGGAGCATCTTCCTTGTGAGAGACATTATGATAGGTTCTAGGGATAGAAAAGTTAACTATCAATGCATTCCTTGATGTTACAAAGCTTACATTGTAACAGGGAAGACATAAACCTTAAATAGCTAACTACACAATTAATTAATTAGCTACAATAATGATCTGAACTATTAGGAAGTATAGGATAATACATGTAGAAGGTGAATTTTCTAGCAGAATGTTATGTGCATGCTATTTATGAATTAATGCAACAACTGCTCACTCTGAAGCATTCTTAACAAATATGATTCCCTATTGTTTTCAAGCTAACAATAATTAATAGCTCTTCAACAACAATAAAATAAATACAATTTTTAAAAAAATAACTATTAATAGCTCATACAAAAAAATAACAAAAAGTGTAAATACATTTTAAAATGATAACAAGAACACTAATAATAAATTGAGAATGGACTACTTGCAATCTAAATTATTCAGCAAACGAATTCTATTGTTCCAGTCAAAGGGATAGATGTCTGGTTAGAAAGGGAAAAGGAATTTCAGTCTGAGAAATACTACATTCTGATCATGGCTCCCAAAGGTGGATGAGCTGTACATCCGATTCTAAACTAGGTTGTACCATTTAGATGTAGTGGGTTCATGGGCATGTGACACAGCTAGTGAACCTCCTCAGTGAGCCCCACTCTACCCTAGGTCACTCCGCCATCCCTGACTAGACAAACTTTTATTAGGAATGGGCCCTGACAGTATGCCTCTTGGGAAACAGAAGGTGAGGGATGGTGTTCTTAATCACCTCATACCTCAGGTGCACAAGAGACTTCAGACTTCCTTATATACCAGGGAGCCCTGGTGGCGCAGTGGTTAAGAGCCTGGCTGCTAAGCAAAACATTGGCCGTTCAAATCCACCAGCTGCTTCTTGGAAACTCTGTGGGGCAGCTCTACTCTCCTATAGTGTCGCTATGAGTCCGAATTGACTGGACGGTACTTAACAACAACAGCATGGCAAAACTATTATAACAATAGCAACAATAGGATGTTTTTAATAGAGGCTTTTCCCCTCCTTTTAAAAAAATTACTGCTATACCAGGGCCATTTTGTACACAGGTATATGTCTTTCAGTCTACTGTTGTGAAACCGAAAAACCAAACCCGCTGCCGTCGAGTCGATTCCAACTCCTAGTGCTCTTATAGGACAGGGTAGAACTGCCCATAGGGTTTCCAAGGAGTGGCTGGTGGATTCGAATTGCTGACCTTTTGGTTAGCAGCCAAGCTCTTAACCACTGTGCCACCAGGGCCCCACTGTTGTGAGGAGTAGTGGAATCTTTCTTCTGTGGAATAAAATGTCATTCTAATTTAAATTAGAGAAAACTTCAGATCTGTATTATTTCTTTGTCATGTAATACACAAACTGTATTCTCTCTAGGCTTTCATGAAGCTGAAAAAAATTTTAAGCTTACCTGATTTCAACCCAAACAAGATTGCTCTAGTTTCTGTTGCTTGTTGCTCTATGTGCCAGTGGGTTATAGCTTTGAATAACTACCACGAAGTACAGAAGGTATGCTTTCTCCTTCTAAATATCTGTGACGATTTGAAAATGACACATCAAAGTGCCAGACGTAATTTTTATTTAAAAATGCTCAAATGAACTTCTGTGGAAAATAATACCTAATGAAAACCACTTTAATCAAACGTATTATAATAACTTATACAGATGCCAGGTGTTAAATTCTTTTATTTATGACAACCATGCTATTGTTTTATTTGCTTGTTTTAATATGTTTTACCATAATAGGCTACTCTATATCCCTTTTGTATCCGTAATTTTAGAAACATTTAACAGTTCACACCTATCTTCCAAACACAAGTGGCATTTTTAACAGTACAACGGATTTTTTAAACACTAAATGTTGTGACTTTCTTTTTAAGGTGATGGGCCCTAAACAAATCCAAGTAGCTGAAGCTCAGAATGTCCTTAAAATCGCACGACAAAGGTTGGCTGAGAAACAAAGAGGTTTACAGATGGTAAGAAATTTTTTATTTGTTAAACTCTCAATACTCTTATGAACTAAACAAAAACGTGAAAAAAAAAGTCATTATGTCAATAAAGCTAATCAGATAAAGTTAAAGTGGGGATATTAATATAGCTCCTGAAGAGATTAATTGTAAGGATTAAGTAAGAGAACATAAATAATATATCTAAAGCTCTTTGTCAGTGCCCACCACATAGTAAAATACTAAATAAATCATTATTTTTTCTCCAGAATGTTTTAAGTTGCCATTTTATCAAATTTCTCCCAGGAGATCTTTAGAACTTCAGTCTACCAAAGGCTTACCCAGTATCAATCTGTGTTTTTAAAAAACTGTACTTGCCCTGTTTATATCAATTATTGTGTTGCTTTGTTAGTGCAGTGATTCCTTAAATGTCTTGGTTCTAAGTAAGAATGGAGTATAATTACGAGACCTAGAGTTTCCATTACGATCATCAATCCTTGTCATTTACTTAGCTCACAGACATTTGGAGTGGGTGAAATAATGCACCACTTCAGAGATGACAAACTAACAGACAGTGGCCAGTGTCAGCCCATTGACATCCTTTGTTTGGCCTGTACAGTTTTTCTCCTCCTACACTAAATGTGAATACAGTTATCAACGTTCTAAAACTCTGGAGACCTCCTTTAAAATAGGAATTTCCATCTTCTCTTTAAAAATGAGAAAACTCAGCAGCCTGGACTAGTCTTCTCTCCCGACTATACTCAGCCAGTGTTGCCCGTTTAGATGGAGCATGAGCCCCCAGGCAGCATCAAGTATTTATGTTACTTGCCTGTCCCCACAGGCATTCTTACAAACTCAGATATATACAAAGTATTAGACATTTTCAAAGGAAATTCACAACAATTTTTAGATGAGTTTACTTTGAATTGATACGTCATTTTATTGCTAATATTTTATTGCAGCTTATGATATATATGGTTTACTTAGATATGTGCTGATAATAACTAATATTTATTGAGCACATACTATGTTCCAAGCACTATGCTAGTACTTTTTATACGTTATCTCATTTCATCCTCAAAACGACCTCAAATGGTAGATACTTACAAATGAGAAAACTAAATTAGAAAGACTGAGTAATTTGCTCAAGATCTCAAGCTACTCAGTGGTGGCACCCACGTTCTAACCAGGTCTGTCTAACCTGGAAGCCCCTGTACTTAACCCCCACACTGTAAAATATATCTGTCTGGAAATGATACTCAAAATCTTTAGCTGCTTGTGTGGCACAAGCACCAACCAAGCAGAATAGACACCTCATGGGGCAGGAGCAGGGTCCTGGAGGCCTCCATCTGGGTTATGAAGAGTGGTATGAGGCTGGGCTGGGCTATGTGGTGGCGGTGAAGGCGCCCTCAGGGGTGCAGGACAGGGTCATTTAGCAATGAGTAGAGAAATACTTCAATATTTTAACAACCGCTTTGCCTGCATTAGTGTATACCACCGAATACCAGCCCTACTGTGTCCCCTACTGAAGTTAGTGAATAAAGTAGCCCCGGATAAGGAGAAACATTTTCTTCAGAACTTTAAGAAAAAAACTTATTCAACTTGGAAAAACAGAGTTCAAGAACAAATCTTTTTTAACTTAATATAAGTGTTCATTACTTTTTTACAGCAATTAGTAGAAACTTCTTGTAAATAAATTTGGAAACCTGAATAATGTGCCTGGTTTTCCAGGAAATTCTTAATCACTAAAAGTCAATAAAAAAACAAAACAAAACTTGAAAGCCTAAACAAACCAAAATCATAGATTTCAAAAGTTATCACAATGGGCTATTATTCAACAATAGAAAAAACAAAATACTGATACATGCTATAACGTGGATGAACTTTGAAAACATTATGCTTGGTGAAAGAAGTCAGTCACAAAAGACCACATATTATATAGTTTCATTTATATTAGATGTGTAGAATAGGCAAATCCATAGAGACAGAAAGTAGATTGGTTTTTGCCTAGACCCCAGGGAGTGGGGAAAGGTGAGGAGGAAATGGAGAGTGAACGCTTGTGAGTATGGAGTTTTGGGGGGAGTGACAAAAAATGTCCTGAAATTGGTTGGGTGATGGTTGCACAACTTCGTGAGGATACTAAAACTAGTGAATATACTGAAACATTTCAAAGAATGGGAATTCCAGAACACTTGATTGTGCTCGTGAGGAACCTGTACATAAACCAAGAGGCAGTCGTTTGAACAGAACAAGGGAATACCGTGTGGTTTAATATCAGGAAAGGTGTGCATCAGGGTTGTATCCTGTCACCATACTTATATTCAATCTGTATGATGAGCAAATAGTCCGAGAAGCTGGACTATATGAAGAAGAACATGGCATCATGATTGGAGGAAGACTCATTAACAACTTGCAACACAACCTTGCTTGCAGAAAGACAAGAGAACTTGAAGCTATTGCTGGTGAAGATCAAAAACTACAAAGCTTTCAGTATGGATTACACCTCATCATAAAGAAAACAATCCTCACAACTGCACCAATAAGCGACATCATGATAAACCAAGAAAATACTGAAGTTGTGAAGGATTTCATTTTACATGGATCCACAATCAATGCCCATGGAAGCAACAGTCAAGAAATCAAATGACGTACTGCAATGGGCAAATCTGCTACAAAAGACCTCTTTCAAAGTGTTAAAAAGCAAAGATGTCACTTTGAGGCCTAAGGTACACCTGACATTTTCAGTTGTCTCATATGCATGTGAAAGCTGAACAATGAATAAGGAAGACCAAAGAAGAATTGATGCATTTGAATTATGGTGTTGGCAAAGAATATTTAATATACCATGAACTACCAGAAGAGCAAACAAATCTGTCTTGGAAGAAGTATAGCCAGAATGCTCCTTAGAAGCAAGGATGGGGAGCATTCATCTCACATACTTTGGACGTGTTATCGGGAGGGACCAGTTCCTGGAGAAGGACATCATGCTTGGTAGAACAGAGGAAGACCCTCAATGAGATGGATTAACACAGTGGCTGCAACAGTAGGCTCAAGCATAACAACCATTCTGAGGATGGTGCTTATAGGGTTGCACATAGGGAACCTACTTGACAGCTCCTAACAACAACATTGGAGCACCCCAGGGCTCAGGCCTCAGACAGCTTCTCTATCTGCACTCAGTATCTTGATGATCTTATCCTGTATTATGTTTTTAAATACTATCTGTATCCTGATGACATGTATTTCTCCAACCCAGACACTCTCCTGAACTTGAGAGACATATATCCATCTATCTACTCAACACTTCCACTTGGAAATCTAGTAGGCATCTCAAAGTCATCATGTCCAAAACTGACTTCCTGATCTTCCTCCCATCCCCAAACCGACTCCACCCACAGTCTTCATCATCTCAGTTAATGGTAACTCCATTCTTGCTGCTGCTCTGAAACCTTGGAATCACCCATGGCTCTGTTTTTCTCTCACAGTCGCCCCCTATCCAATTCATCAACAAATCATGTTAACTCTACATTCAACCACTTCTCACTACTTCCACTACCACCACCCTAGTTCAAGTCACCATCATTTCCTGCTAGATTATTGAAAGAGACTTCTAACTGGTCTCCCAGCTTCCACCTTTGTCTCCTACAAACTATTATCAACACATTAGAGTAATTTTTTTAAAATTAAAATCAGCTTTACACTTCAATGAAAATAGAAGCACAAGTCCTTTCAGTGGCCTACAAGGCCCTACTAGACCATCTGTCCTCATCTACTACTCTTCCCCTGGCTCACTCTACTCCAACCAAACAGCCTTTCTCTCTCTTCTTCAAATATGTTAGGCACATTCCCACTTCTAGGCCTCTGCACCACTTCTTCTCTCTGTCTTGAACCCTCTTCCCCCAGAGAGGCCACTAACGGGGGAAGGAGGACATGACTTCCTTCCTGTCCTCCAAGTCTTTGCTCAAGTATCTCCTTCTCAGTGAGGTCTACACTGACTACCTTTTAAAAATTGCAGTCCTCCACCCCTCAGCACTCCCAGTCCCATTCATTCTACTACTGTGTTTTTTTCTAACACTTATCACCATCTAACATAGTAAGTAGTTTAATTATTTCTTATATTTATTGCTTATTTCCCTCATTATAATATAAATTCCACAAAGACAAATTTTTTCTCTGAAAAAGTGCTCAACAGGGTATCCCCAGAGCTTAGAACCATGCCTGGTCCATAGTAGGCACTCAAGAAATAGTTTTTAATGAATATTGAGTTAATTAAAATAAAGACATGACAAGGATATCCACTATTACTATTATTAAACAGTGTTCTGGAAGCTCTCAGCAAAGTAATTAGACACAAGAAAAAACTACAAGGTAACTCATTGGAAAATATAGGGCAAATTTAATATTTCCTGCAAATATTGTTACACAGTGTCATGGATTGAATTATGTCTCCCAAAAATATGTGTATCAATTTGGCTAGGTCATGATTCCCAGTATTGCGTGATTGTCCACCATTTTGTCATCTGATGTGATTTTCCTATGTGTTATAAATCTATCTCTATGATGTTAATGAGATGGGGTTAGTGGCAGTTATCTTAATGAGGCAGGACTCAATCTACGAGATTAATCTACAATTTAAGCCAATCTCTTTCGAGATACAAAAGAGAGAAGTGAGCAGAGAAACAGGAGGCCTCATACCACCGAGAAACAAGAGCCAGAAGAATAGCGCATCCTTTGGACCCCAGGTCCCTGGGCTGAGAAGCTCCTCAACCAGGGGAAGATTGATGACAAGAACCTTCCCCCAGAGCCAAGACAGAAAGAAAGCCTTCCCCTGGAGCTGACACCCTGAATTTGGACTTCAAGCCTGCTAGACTGTGAGAGAATAAATTTCACTTTGTTAAAGCCATCCACTTGTGGTATTTCTGTTACAGCAGCCCTAGAGAACTAAGACACGTAGCATAGAAAACTCGAAAGAATTGAAACACAACTATAAACAATAAGAAATTTTGCTAAGGTGTACACTTTCAAAATTA